AGAAAAGAGGAACAAAATAAAAAAAAAAAAAAATACAAAACTATTTATATCTTAGCATCTAGTAATTAGATTTTTATTATTTTAGACTTGTTAGAATCCTCTTAATAAGAGGATCATTTTGGTAGTTAAATCATCCAAATCGGTCTAGTAGATCAAAAATTATTCAATATTAAATATTATATATAATTTTAATTATATGTTTTAATAAACATGAAATCTGATTGGCTAGCAGGTGAAAGAGTGGGGGTGGGTTCGAACAATTTATTAGTAAACCCTAATCAGCTGATTTCTGGAAGCCTTCTTATAAAGGGGCATATAATAAATATAATGATACGATCGTTATGCTAATAAACAATATGATCATTATACTAATAATAAATTGTTATATTAATATAAATGATAAGGGCCGTGGTTACATAAATTATAAAATAATGATAGTATCAAATTCTAATAGTTTATGCATTAACCCTGGCTTGTCCACATGATGTTCATTAAACATTTATCATTGTATATACGTATACGTATATACGTATACATAAAATTAGAGCACGTGTGATTGTAGCTTGTTACATTCTCCCCTTTAAAATCAATATTCACATTGATCTTCAAATTCTTTAATTTTTGTAGAAGCATTTTGTAAGTTCTCTAAGAGTTCCTATGTTGCTTCATATAACAGATAGCCAAGCTATTTTACTAAATAGTATATTCTTTTATTCATTACCTTTTGATCCAGAATGAATTTGACTTCATATTCCTCTTGTTAGGTTTCGGGTACAAAGATTGCAAGTGAAGGCATTGGTCTGTTGAAATCTTTTGATTCTTTGTATGATTTTAGAAGTGAAATATGAAACACCAGATAAATTTTTTAGTTGTTTGGCAAGCCTAGTTTATATGCAACTTTTGAAATAGCTTTTATAATTGGATAAGGTCCTACGTACTTTGGTAATAACTTTTTTGTTGGTCTCTGTTTGTCGATTGGACTAATAATATTTTTTGTTGAGAGCAATACTTTATCTTCTATGTTAAATTCTAGGTGATAACATCATTGATTCGCATACTGAGTTTGTCTTTGTTGAGCCAAGATCAGGCATCCTTTGCTGTTTTGATCATATTATTCCAGTGTTTTATAAAATTATTAGTTGCTAGTATGTTGCATGAAGCTCTAGCTGCTAATATGGTTGGAGTGATTGGGTGTTGTTCTGAATCTAATTCAAAAAAGATAAATTCCGTCGACGCTTGCTTGGAGTTATTGTAAGCAAATTCAGTAGCTAGTAAGTATTTATCCTATTGGTTTTGCTTATATGTTGTATATATTCGTAATATCTCTTCTAATATTCTGTTTATTCTTTCCATTTGTCCGTCTGTTTGCGGATAGAACACAGTTAACATAGTTAATTTTGTTTCTAACTGCATGAAGAGCGACTGCCAGAATTTACTAGTGAATCTGAGATCTTGGTCTGATACAATTGCTTCTGGAAGACCATGATTTTTGAAAATAGTAGAAAAGAAAATTTTTGCTACTTCTGGAGTTGTTACTGTGGTGTGAGTGGGATAGAAATAAGCTTATTTAGTTAATTTATCAACAAATACTATGATTGCATCATTTTTTTTTTTTGTTAGAGGTAATTGGACTATAAAGTCTATAGTAACTTGTTTCTAACACCTTTTTGGGATATTTAAGGGTTGTAGAAGCCCAATGGGTTGTTGGTTACTACTTTTATTTTTTTGGCACTAGTCACAACTTTCTACATATTTTTTTATATCATTATGGAGTTTGGGCCAGAAATAGTTTTTACTAATAAGTTCATATGTTTTATTTATCTCTAGGTAACCAGCAGTTTTGATATCATAATGCTCCTGGAGTAGATATATTCTTAATTTTTTATTAAGAGGGATTGCTAATCTAAAACCTTCCTTCAAATATATTTTTCTATCATTTAATTCAAAGTGTTTAACACGTGCTTGTTGCTTAGAATTATTAATAAATTCTTCTTTTAAAATTTTAAATATAGGTAAAAAATATTGATCTTTAAGATATTCATATTCTAAAAAATTTTGGTTAGCTAGCTGAATAGAAACTGTTGTAATATTATTAAGGTGTATATGTCTAGACAATGTATCAGCTACAGTATTATTTTTACTGAATTGATATTTTATATCAAAGTTCATTGACTATAATACTTCTAACTATCAGCTTGCCTTCATAACAGTTGGGATTGAGACTTAATATATTCTAACAAAGCATGGTCTTTGATTACAGTAAACTTTTGACCTTCAATATATGACCTCCATAGCTTAATAGCATGAACAATAGCTAATAGCTCTTTTTCGTGTATAGAATAGTTTAATTCGGCTAGCAAAAGTTTTCTTGACTCAAAGATGACTAGCTGATTACCTTTGCTATGATCTTAACTAAGGACAGCACCAATAGCATAATCAGAAGTGTCTGTAGTTATAAAAAATAGTTTAGCAGGCTTAGGGAGAGCTAAAACAGAGGCAGGGGTAAGTTAATACTTTAAGGTTTTAAAAGCAACAGTTTCAGGTTGTTCTTACTTAAAAAGCTGGTTCTTATGAAATAATTGTATAAGGGGTGTTGCAATAGCTAAAAACCTTTTTATGAATTTTTTATAATAACTAGCTAAACCAAGAAAAGAATGAACATCAGAAATATTAGTAGGTGTAGGCTAGTTTCAGATGGAGTCAATTTTTTTGTTATCAACTGAAAGTCCATTAGCTGATATAATATAGCCAAGATATTCTACTTCTTCTTTAAAAAATTCATATTTACTAATTTTTGCATACAACTTATAATCTTTAAGGATTTCAAAAACTTTTCTAAGATGGTATATATAGTCTTGTTTCATCTTACTATATATAAGGATATCATCAAGGTATACTATTATGAATTTATCAAGGTATTCTCTAAAAATATTATTCATTAAGGCTATAAATATAGCAAGTGCATTTGTAAGGCCAAAGGGTAATACAAGGAATTTGTAGTGACCATATCAGATATGAAAAGCAGTTTTATAGATATTCTTCTTTTTAATCCGAATTTGATGGTATCCAGAATACAAGTTAATTTTTGTGAAATATTTAGCATCAACTAATCTGTCCAAAAACTCATCATTGCAGAGAAGAGGATACCTATTCTTAATAGTGATTTATTTAAGGCCCAGTAATCAATATATAACCTCAAGATTCTTTTCTTCTTATAGATGAAAAGAACTGGGATACCAAACAGAGAAGTGCTAGAGTGAATAAAGTTTTTTGTATTAGTTCAGCTAACTGGCATTTTAATTCGACCAATTCTTCATAGAATGTTCGGTAGATGGGGCAAGATGAGGGTTCTGAACTTGATACAAAATTAATAGTATAGTCAACAGTTTGTTTTGGAGGCAAATGGTCAAGTAGATTTTTAGGAAAAATATCCTTAAAATTTTGAAACATCTTTTGAACTTCTGATTGTTGGGTGTTGGTGTCTTTATTACTTTCTTGACTAATATGTATAGTATAAATTTCTTCACTGTAGGTACTTTGGCTAATTGTTGCTAGGATATGAATACCAAGTTACAACTAAGATCCTTAGATGTTTTTTGGGAGTCTGCTTGAACTTCAATAACTTTGGATATATACTGAAAAACCAAGATATTTTTTCCCCAATTGATGTTGGGGTTGGCATAATACAACCATAGTTTTTCTAGAATAGCATCATAATGTTAAAGTTTCAAGACTTGTGCTGATATCCTGGAAGTATAGTAAGGACCTAGTTCTAACTTATTTATATTAAATATCTTATCTGTTTGTACCTTGCTTCCATCTGCTAATTTAACTGATATAGAAAAAACAGTTTTTAATATTAGTTTATTCTGAGTAGCAAAATCTTTGTCAATAAAATTGCAGGACACTCTACTATTAAGAAGGATTCAAGCAAGATGACTGTTGATTTTGTTATTAAATTTCAATAACTGTTCACAATTTTCTTCTACTTGTATTAGTTTAGGCTATTGTTAGTTATAGTATGTGGTGGCTAGTTAGGTTCATCTTTGATGTTAGTAAGTTTTTGCTTTTCTTTACTTCTACAGTTTTTTGCATAATGTCTTGACATTTCACACTTAAAACAATTCCTCTTTTTTT